TCCCGTCAATTTCTTCGTCGAGCCCTGCGGCGACCGACGCCTCGCTGGCGTCATAGGTCTTTACACTGTATTGGTTGTTCGCGCCATCACCCCTGTCATCTGACTCTGGATGACCCAGCATAAACTTCCTGGACGCCACCGAGTCATCGAGCGGCCTCGCTAGAATGCGTGCAGGAGTTGTGTACTCCTTTCGCTCTACTGCCAGTGGTTGTTCCGCTAACCAGCACTCGTAGAGCTCTTTCTCGTTCTGTAGAAGAGTATCGTCTCGCCCCTCGGTGTACGCAAGTACTTGCCATTCGTTATACTTGCTCGAATCGAGCCTGTCATACCCAACTTCACGTGGGAGGCCTTATTTGGGTATCCACAGGGCCCCAGAGGGGTGCTTGTAGCACCAGACTGTCCCATCCGACACGTTCGTTAGGCGGGCCCACACAGGCTTACCCCTGCGGGATTCCATCACCGTCGGTACCATTTGTCTGGTCCTCCGGATCAATATCGTGTGTCGCACGTGAGGGTCTCTTCAAAGGCAGTCGGAACTCTCGCCACTCACCTCGAGGGACGTACAAGTCCTCGGTCGGTCCATCGACGACTTGGACTCCATACGGTTCGTCATCCGCGGCACCAGACGTCTTCACCAGTGGTACTGTGACCTCGTCCGGTAGTCTGGCAGTGCGGTGGAATAGCTCCAACCGTACATCTGCGGGAATAGTGAAATCCGTCCCAAGCACGACGTAAACGCCTGCACTGTGGTCCATAATCCACATTTCGAACTCGTACACCCGCTCCTATTCAATGGTGATCTTAACGAGTGTGTACCGTCGGGTCTCCAGCACCCCATGGTTGATTCCTTGTACTTCCAAGCTGCGGTCATGATCTGACATTCGCTGACATTGGCTCCAGTGTCGAGCAGAATCCTCGTTCGAGTGTCGTCAATAGCACCCATGACTACAGCTCTGATTCTCTTTTCTTTGTCGTATCGTTGGGATGACCACTACCCTAGTCTCTCGCCTGGTAGCAGCTTCGCAGTCCGCACGAGACTTCGGGTGATGTCTCGTTTGGTCCCCGGCTCGAAGCCGAAACATCTGTCAGATACCCATCGTATTCTCCAGCGTCCACTTCACCCACCTCGTTCTCGCCGAGGCATCCGTCGTTTCCTTCTACAATTTCCGTCGTGTTCACAAATCCCATCTCGCGGTCTTCGGGCCATTTCACCTCCCCTGCGAAGGCAAACAAATATTCTGTATCTACCGCGGGTTCGGCTAACTGCGACAGCCCGATAAGAACCAACCCAGTTTCAGTTGGCGGACTGCCTAGTTTAAATGATTCCCGTACGCCACGCTTTGCAGCATCGGTGTCAAATCATTCTTGTCGTTCTTCGACCGGAGGAGGCTAGCGAGTTCGTTGAAGGCTTCACACTTCCCGGCATCATGGACTTGTTTACACATTTTGCACAGTTTGTCGCAGGAATGCACCGAGTGAGTCAGACCTCCGCACGCTGCGCAAGGACCATACTGCTGCCGTCCATTTGGTTGTCGCGGCCGAACCCTCGGTCATTGTTGAAATGCCCTCACCCTTAGGACGTCGGTTGTCTGACCGGGCGAACGTCCCTTCCGCCGCCGCGCGACGCTCATGGTCGTTCGCCGCTGCGACGTGACCGCGCTCGTCTTCACCGACGTAGTCGTACTCGGAACCTCTATTAGAGTATCGATATTCGTCGTCTCGGCGCTCTCCATCACCAAACGAGTCCTCGTTCGGCTTGTATTCATGGTCGTACGTTCCTGACTGACTCGTCTGTGGTCCGACCGAGGTCTCGTTCAAAGCAGTGATCAAATCAGATAACGCATCCGCGAGGGTAATTCTTGGTCGATACCGCGACTCGTCTCTACGGCGATCGTCTCGGCGGTAGTTACTCCTTGAGTCCTCGTTCCGACTACTCTCGCGTCGGCGGCTACCATTTTGACCGCTCCAGCGTCTCACCGAGGAGTCGCGTTTCGATTTCCGGTCCCGGCGTTTCAATATATCGTTGACCATATCCTCAAGACCGTGAATATCCTTCACCCGTACGTGGCACAAACGCTCTTCGAGACCTCTGTCGTCGCACGTGTCGAGAGAATGTTCCACGTGGTCCTTAGCTTCGCGGCCACCATTCACGAACCGTTCTCCCGCGCTACGGGCCTAGCCATTGTGCCGGTTGAGGTAGTCGCACACATGTTCCTTGTCCTCACGCTTTGCAAAGTAGGACCTAGCCTTCGCAGACTGATTGAAGTTGGAACAGTAGTACTTGATGAGCACATCACTCCAGGGTTTCCACGTGCGACGGGTCTTGCGTGGTAATTGCCGGTACCAATGCAAAGTCCAGTCTTGTAAACTCAACCCGAACGCCATGTACCAGTCGTTACGTGGGGTGTGCGTTCCTTTCATCTCGTATACGAAAGTACGTAGCCACTGTGTGGACTTCACACTCTTGTTTCGGTAACCTGAGAATGACTTGATGTTACCCAGCGGTAAGTTGGTTGTAATTTCGTGCCTGGATGTCGAGTTCTTCTCTTCTCACGCGCACAATTCGCGGATTTGCCGTGTCCACTCCTCGGTCAGGTCCCCTTCGAGATGATCGACATCCAAAAGATCCCTTCCATCATCAGACGAGTCCTTGTTCAGATCGTAGCGACGGTCTGGCTGTTGAGCTGGACCCTTGTAATTGTTAGGGGTCGGCCGTGAGGTCTCGTTCTCTTTCACGACTTGGTCTTGACGGCTCGCAGACCTCGGAGTCACCATGTGCGATTCGTGCATGTACGGGGATCCTTTGGATCCGAACACGCCTATTGAAGACTCGTTCTGCTTAACCGGGGTTTGAGGTAGTGGAACTTACGGAGGGTCAGCAGGCATGAAAGCTTGACGGGCTACCACCTGACGACCTGGAGCAATTTTTCCACCCCGAACGCCGCGCGTAATTTCTTCTTCCACTTGCGTAGAGCTGAGCCGGCATCGGCAGGTGCCCAGTCGTTGAGTGCGGCATCCGAGGGGAACCTCCGAGTCTCGCACCCCATGGCCCTCAATAGCATGACAGTGTCTTGGGCCACTTGACGAGTGCTCGTTGAGTCGACTGGCACGACCAACCCTTCACCCAGGTTCATCCATACCGCCTGTCGGACCGGAGTTGGCCCGAGCATTTGCATCCATCTGCTATTGGTCATCATCCACTACAAGGTTTTGCAAATGCCCTTGTTGGCTCCCAGCGTATCTCCGTTAATTGGAAACTGGAAACCGGTTGACTGAGAAGTTGCCTTCCCAGTCTCCGCTGACGGTTTTGCTCCGTCGGACCAATCATCATCAGAGTCCATGGCCGGACCAGCCACTTCATCCAATGCTTCGGTGAGGTTGTGCGCGAGCGTCTTTACCCCTGCGCTGCGGCCTACATACACCACAGCGCCTTCTGAAAGCTCTGACACAGATGTCTTCTCTTCCAGGTAGTTGTCTTTATCGTCTTCCTTGACATCAGAGTAGTGAACGGAATCGTCGAAGCTCACAGAGCGTTCGGTAATCGGCGTCATACGAGAAGTCGTTGGCGTCGAATACGAGCTCCTGGAGCGCCCCGAAGCCTCGGAGCGCATTCCACACTACTTCATTGGCGTTGCTGATACCGCTGACCGGTCTCCTTTCGCCATATTGGCTTTTCTTTTCTTCTCTCTCGTAACTCGTTAGGGGTCTAACCTAAATACAACTGAACACACACAGAAAGTTATTCCAATCCCGGGTCGCGGCACCAGTTGCCGTGTAGGGCACGATAGAATTCTCACGTTCGGGTGAGTTCCTACCAACAACACACACTTCCCCCCAAGGGGTAGTGACTTGTTGTGTCAATACCTGAAGACCAGGAACGATCCGTTACACCGGGTTGGACTAGCCTCTCTGTACCCGGGGTGCCTTCGGTCAACCCTTAAGAAATCTACCTAGTCCCGAACGAGGACTAGGAGGTGTACTTAGCGCTCTTGCGCAAAACCACTGCAGTCCCTCTACCGGTTTTTGCAAACCTAGTACAGGGGCACCGAGGGAACCCTCGGTAGGAAGTCTAGTGTACGTGAGAACCCTCTGTTCACACAAATACACACTGAACGAGATTTCGCTAACGTTCTATACACGGCCACACTCTCCTCTTGGCCTTACCCAGAAGACAGACCCTTGGTTCAATGTACGTCTATCAACAGGAATCCACACAACCAGGCGTATCTTAGCCTTAGATAAGCTAGTTAGACTTACCGAAGACGGACTTGGCCCTTATTAGATGTGGGGGAGAACTGCTTTTTATTACTGTATAATGTGAGGCTCTGGGAGCCTCTCTACAGCTCATCTACCGATGAGTCCTACCCTATACAAAAAATCAAATATAAACAGATGCTGTGGGACAATTCCCATCCGACTCTAACGAAATCTACCGACCGAGGTTTCACGTAGGTACGAACTCACCATCATGGGTCTGATGGGTCTGACCGAGGACTCGCTCACACGCGCACTCGGTTAAATAAGGCATAGAATCCTAATTTAGGATAACCAGGAATAACCCCCAGCCAGGTTATATTAGGATGGCCGAGGACTCGGACGGTCCTAAGAGTGACCCCGTCACTAGGACGCGCGGAGCATAATTGATCAATCATGATGCGAAGTGAGCTTTCTGTGAAAGCTCTTGTGCCGGTTGCCTTGAAAGCTCGGTGGTCTGCGAAGCTGCGATTCGCTTCACCACATGATGCTTCCGATACGGAAACAACGGGCATTATGCACGCGAGTTTTCGACATAAGTACACTCGGGCCAAGGTCGATGTGGCGATACCGGGTATCGTCACGGTCGAAGAAACAACGCGACGGGTCGGTAGGCGCTACTGTGATGCAGTCACGCGTGTCTACAACGGGGACGCGTATGGAGGAATGCAGGCCCCCGTGAGAGGGAATTTCATTGCAAGATTCAACATGACATATCAAACCAAGTCATCTTGAAGGTGAAGTCGATGACGGAGAGAGCGGACTCTCTTCGGGCGTTGGTGGACTTAGGCGCTCCGAACAACTTTGTTCGACAGCAATTATTTCTGCCGTTGTTGGACTTCGAGGAGAAGCATGTACCTTGAAGTCAATTGGAAGTACGATTAAGAACGGGTGTGATCGTGAAGACCGAGAAGCGCGCAATTCCGGCACGCCTCTCGTACAAACATCCGGTGTTTGTGGAAGCCCTTATCATCCTGGCCTTGGACGACAAGTTCGACATGGTGTTAGGCATGTGGTGGCTTGCACGGCATGATCCCATCTTCGACTGGGAGAAGCGTACGGCCGTACGCTTCAAACTCCTTGACGCAACAGAGAGCGACGACCCTGTTAGACCATAGGATACACCTAGCGGTGCATCCGAACCTCTTATAGAGAAAGTGGTTCGCGTCTCTGTCTTCTGGTGTAGCGCGCGGGCTGTAATGGAGTCGTTGACAGGAACGAGTGTCTGGTCAGGAACCAGACACTACCAAGAAATTATCCGCCGTGAGGCGTCGAAGTGACAACAGCGTGTCGACTCCGGTCGTTGACACACACTCGATATCGAAATCGAGAGGGGACTCTACCGGGAGGCGTCGAGGTGGCAATGATGTGTCAACCCCGTAGTTGTGACACACTGCTCCACCGTAAGACGTAGAGGTGATGATGATGCCTCGACTCCGGGGGGGGGGTCAATGTGACAAACTGTGTGGACGGTTGCAAACGTCCAGCACTGAAGCTGGGTGCAGTCGGGCTGCACGAAGCAGGGCGCGGTCAAGCCGGGCTTGATGACGCGTGCCCGCGGGTACAAGAACCCGCTGGCGATCGCATGCGGACTGAAATGTCTACCGGTGGTATCAAAGAACATTCGTCCATGACCGAGCCTGGACGTAAAGCAAGTGAATCCACAATTCGCACAAAAATGTGATGACGTAAGCATAGCATGCCGCGCAAGTCTTGGTCCGGGACCGAGACTCTTCAAGGTATGTCTGCCACAACAGCCGCCAGTGGCCGTCGAGACGTAGAACGTCTTGACGCGAGCCTGTGCTGGGTATGAGTACCAAAACATGGAGTTGGTGAACCGTCCGACAGATATGTTGGTGTTGACCTCGCTTCCAGTCATGAGCTGGAAGCGCCACTGAGAGTGAATATACTTTCAGTGCCAAGATGAAGAAAGAACGCTTCGAGGAGCAGAGGTGGGATTCACTGAAGTCGAGACCGTATTATAGGATTCTACAAGAGCACAGAGATGTGCTCCCGGACAAGATCCCTGCGGAGCTTCCATTGGGTAAGGGAATACAGCACGAGGTTGATCGCGTACGGGGGACGAAGTATTGCGTGACGCATGAGTGGCCACTGCCGCGGTAGCACGTCAGCGAAGGGTGACTCCAATGCCGAATATCCAACTTGCTCGTGGGGCACTTCTGGAGGTTGGCTCCCAGATACCTGGTGATGAGCATCGTTTGGAAGGAACGCATGTTCCTGCTCAGCGGATATTCATCCGACCATCCCATAGCCCAAAAGGTATCTGAGCTGAATCCTTGGAACTCATCACAGAACTTGTGCTTGAAGCCTCACGTTCGACGCCTCGACTTTGTTGCGGCTCAAGGTGGATATGCCTGAACGTGAACGCAACGGAATCGAAGGCGTGTTCGGCCGTGGCGGTTGGTGCTGCGGTCGTTTGCGTTCCGTTTCTCCAATTGAAGAGTGGGGGCTTCGTGATCGCCGGGGTCCGGACGCCATAACGTGTGTCGCGAATCCATGTCCCAACAGTTGAACTTCCGAAGTCGTCGTGATAGCGTCTACATCCTGATGTTCTGGATAGTCATCCACCACCACGGCATATTTAGATGCTTGTCCGTCGGGATCTATTATCAACACCTCATCAGCGACAAGAATCTTCGAGATCAGTTGTCTCACTCCAGAAGTTCGACACTCAAATGTCGCTGCAGGTCATCACATATCTACTGTATCAGTTCGGAATGGGCCCATGAAACCTGAGCATCCGACCAAACTAGAATCACGTTCTGGGATTCGAACTCAGATTCAATGAGACCGTCTAGACGATCGTCCCACATTCAACATTCAATTGTCTCTCTATCAGAGTCATAAGACTGGTAAAGTCCAACGCCAGCCCAAAAGTGCTTCGGCAAACACGGAATCAGCGATCCAAACACCAGCCTGCGATGCCACTGACACTCGTTGCTCCGGATACCTCGACGTTTGGAGAGCCGCTGAGTTATACATCTGCGAGTCCGGTTTTCTTAACGGCCAGTCATACTGAATTCCTGGTGGAACCGTCCTATCTGCCGGGTTTTTCTTCCACCCTCGACATTGCGAAGCGACATTGGGCTTGGCTTGGTCAGGTGGCACGTTAACACGGACTTTACTTCTTGGAATCCGATTTTCAAAGTTGGACGAACAAGTTGGAGTGGGGTTTCCGTGAGAGCTGTGAACACATCTATGTCTTCAGATGCGGTCTCTTCTTGAACGGTCGACAAAGGTCGTTCAACCTTGATGTCGATCTTCTCTTCGACAATCTTTACTTCGTCTGTATGTTGAGGAGAGTCTGAAACTTAATCTTTCACCATGACTTCCACCACCGAGTCTTCGTCCGAGCCTTCAATCTCTGGTTGCGCAGATCCAGAGTCCTCACTTTGGACAGAACCTAATGATTTTGCTTGGGAACCGTCATCCAGATCCGGCCTTCGAGAGTCCCCCTTCCGAGTCTTCAGCGAACTGTCCCCGGTGTCATTGGCCGACGACGCTTGGTGCGCGTCAGAGTCAGCCAACTCTGCTTCCGGTTCTCCAGATGTCGATGCGCCCCTCGCTGACTGGACTGCTTTTCGAAGTGCTGCGTTCCGTTTTCAGCTGCCGCGCTCCACTTCGGTCAAAGTACGGTGTTCCTTTGGTAGCAACCCTTGCACTCGACACGAAGACGCGAAGACCGGACCGGTTCTCCAGATGCCGATCCATCATTTCCTCCTTCCTTCTGTATGTGTTCACTTCTAGTCATAAGAGCTGTTATTAGAGGTTAATAAGTAACCAGCACCCTATTGACTCAATCAATAAAAACTCACCCTAGCCAAAATCTGGCACACGCACCAACTGACGAGAGGCGGGTGAACGCCTGAATCGCTTAGGGCTCAGGGTAGCACCTGAAAAGTGTTTGGGGGTCAGATCTCTCCGAAAATGGGTAGCGAATACAGAGCCGAATACACTATTGGGAAGCTGGTGTGTGCCCTTGTGGAATCCCTATCGGTACGTTTAACTTTGGTACTAAGTTATTCGCCGAGTTCACAAAAGCTGACTCTTTGACAACCAAATACAACAGGGAACTGGCACAAACGTTACTTCTAAACGACGTGTCAGTGACTGAAATGCAGACTATGAAGAAACCCTTCCCAGAGAGATAATACGCAAATACAGATAATAATACAAATGTACAGATATGTTAGCCCTTACTTATTCTTTTGGTCCGTGTAAGTGTCGGTCACTCACAAATCGCACTTGGAGGGGCTGGCCAACCCCTACTGGTCATTCTCCCTCAAACAATACGCGCATCACTCCCTACAAAGTAGTATATAACCATTTCAGGAGAGAGAAATATCAAATATCCACAAGTGTCATTCGAGATAACCACTTACTGCAAAGTAGCGTCTGGACGAATCTAACCTTCCACACAGTAATGTAACCAATCGAGTCAGGGATAATTACTATAACCTCAGACAAGCAGCTAATATGAAATGGAAGTCTATCCAGACGACCAACTAGAATATGAAATCAGCAGATCACCTCGAGCGCGCGTCGCCCGATCACTAACCGAAATGGGCTTGAGACGACGTGCCGACCTTCCTCTCTGTCGATACGCCCACACACAAGACTCCACTTGGGGTCACTCAGGTACGCTACCCGTAAGTCGGTTCCTCGTTTTTCCGCTGACACACGACTACCACGCAGAAACGAAGACGGCCTGAAGGTGCTTGTGCTTTAGATTGCAAATCGAATTCTTTATTAAAATATATGTCTCTGTGTCAATCTTTCCTGTAAGCGTAACACATGCAAAATAAACTTGATCTCAATATAGGTCGACGATCACAATCGTCTAACGGTCTAGAATCTTCAAATGCACAACATATCCGGCCGGTCGCACTGGTTGGTCGTTAACATATGTGCTCAACTATAGCCAGAGTGTCGATCTCTCGACTCAGATCCACACATCATTTGATTATGGTGTGCAATATTCAAACGTCACTTCCAGACATCGGTCCTCACTTGCAGGCATAATGATAGTCCAATATAACCGTCATTCCACTTATACCTTAGAATGACCATATCACTTTCTTTTTCGCCAACCATTTTCTTTCGTATACCCATGCACTGGATACCGGGAATGTATCCATCGAAATTCTCCAAATAGATCATCCGTAAACATTAATACTCACACTCCAACAATTTCTGGTACAAATCTGGACCAATATAGAAGGAGTGAATGGCTGGTAATTTCCTCCAATCACAACGCGTCACCAGATATGCCCACGACGCGGTCTGCAACTGTAATCTGTGAGAACGCGTGGAGTTGCAGTTGATGTACACAGCACACAAACTGGGACTGATAGTTTTGTCTCGCATTTGGGGTGCTTCAGGTCGTCAAGCTTGTTTGCGTATGTGATTTCGTTGGTGAATCCACTTTTTATATATATTATATACTTACGTTGGATATGCAAGGTAAGGTGGACGAGCTGTCCTGTAAAAGCACAAACACGATTTGGTTCAATTTCTGGCAATAATACAGATTTTGTATAGGATCAAGTGGTATGATATTTCAAGTTGGAAAATTTAGAACATTAGTCTATTGGCAACAACCACGTAACGGTCCTGCAAAATATGATGAATAAGCGCTGGGTGCTGTTAAAGTATGGAGTTTTCTGGGTGCTAGGACAGCGGAAGGTAACGAGAAGATATGCGTTAAAAGCGTAATAGGGGTTGAGTTGGTGTTGGGGAAGTCTGAAAGATGGAGCTGGTGCGGAAGAAGAGTAGATTCAAAACGAATTCCAAAGTGAGGAGTTTGAGTCCGGGTGCGTTGGAGGGGGCAAACTTCTACCATCCACACCACTTAAGTACAAACTACGCTATGTATAACGTACGGAACCGCTCTATATTGGTCCCATATGTAAGTGCACGCACATCGTCAGGCCTCTACAAATATGAAAATTTGACCAAAACTCTCATATTTCCCATAATATCCTTTTCGAAACTCCCGTGTAAGAATATTAACTCTTTGCTGGTTAGATCTAAAACTACCGTCATTTACAAACACAACCGAACAGGACAAGTCACGACCAACCAATCTCCGCCTCTCCTCTTGGTAATTCGCCATTCACGCTGTCATGCCACCAAGAAAGAGGGCCTTAAGCCGCGAAGGGCAAACCAAAGAAGACAAATATGAAGTTCCATCCAAAACGTGCCAGCATCAAAGCAATGAATGACTAAACAGGAACAGGAATCCTTTTTGCGACTGTCG